AAAATTGAGAGAGTCGATTTTTACAAGCCTTTCTTGAAGCGCATTTTTCCGGACAGGAACAGATAGTAATCGCTTGGTGCCAGGTTTGGACTATACTAAGCTCCCTGAGCTTTTGCCAAGTCATTATCGATGTATGTTGTCTGGCGTTGTCCTAATGGAAGACAATTTCTCTCCTATTGCCTAAAGCTGGCCGTTTCTGGGCGATTTTTTCTTTCAGACGGTTCAACGGTCCATTTGTTGACAGTATAGTTCCGACTTAAGAATTTTGCCGTAGGAAAACAGTCTCACCAAAAACATAGCAAAACCTTTCTGACTGTCAATCTTTCTGGCTTGGCCACCCTTTCAATCAGTTTACCGGGATTCGAACAGTACCGTTTTCGCTTGGCGTTGTTTTAAGTGATCAGAAATGGGTTGATTTTGTGGGATTCAACAGCGATTTGCAGATGGAAATTCGGGCAATGGGGTCGATCGTACTTTTACAACACGAAATACAGATAACTATAGCCATCTATTGAAAATAATGAATTTATTTTTACTACACCTAAAATATTATATGATGCTGAATTTATAAAAATCATGTATAATATGAACGTATTAATAAACAAATTCAACTATCTGTTCGAAATTAACAAAGCAAATGTTATTAGTGAACCATATATTAATTAAGAAAAAATATACTTACCTTCATTACACAAAAAATTAAATTTCGAAAAATTGTATAAAACTGTTGGACGCTGCTGGGCCGGCTTTTCTTCGACTTCAGAATATTTGAGATACCAATGTTTTGAAAAAAGATTATTAAAAGGAAACGTTTATTTAAATATTTATAGCAAGTTTGTTGAAGGACTGTCATTTGTATCTTTTAAAACAAAAATCTTTTCATTTAGCGTTTGGTACCTCAGTTGGTACGATATATCAAAAATAGCTTAGAGAGAATAAAGTTTACAAATGATTCCACGTATTTTCTTCTAAAGAATATTTTTTTTAAAGCAATATTAGACCTTTTCTTTTATAAGTATTTCACAAAAGAACAACCGCTTATTTTAAAAATAACATATGAAATACCAACACTGCTGGTTTATTTAGTCCAACCTTTTTGAAGATGCTTAACTAATAAGCACCTAAAATCGCACGGTTTCCAAAACTAAAAATTCGTCCATTGTGAACGCTTTTTAGAAATATGAAAAAAAATATGAAAAAATTTCTAGTTAACTCTCAACAAATATTTAACAAATAACATTCAATTCTTTTTAATTTTCTGAATTTAAAAATATATACTCAATTATTGAAAAATATAAATTTTATTCACAATCATGTAAAAAATAAAAATTCTTACTCATAATTGCAAAGAATTATTATTTATTTTCAAAACTTTAACTTCATATTTTATTACGTGTTTTGCATATACAGTCGATAAATCGATAACCCCAATAATTCGTAATAAATTGCTGGTCCCTTAAAAACATTCGTAAAATTTCCATATATTTTGGTCTCTTCATTAATTAGTATTTTATTTGAAATTCAATGAACATTAAACCTCTTATAATTCGTAATGTAGACCAATAAAACACTTATAATTTGTAATGCAGAACAAAAAATCTGACTGCAAATTTAAGGTGCTTCAAAAACATTCGTAGCTTCTCAATGATTTCTCGACACATTCTATTGAACGAATGGTTTCAGATGCTGAATGATTGCATGTAAACTAAAAATCGAAAGATGTTGTTATTTATGGACAAATGTACATCGCATAATGGATTCCCTAATCTTACCCACATAAAAGTAAAGTAAATACCACTTCCAAGCTGCACCCCTTGACCAAGGTGCTATAAAAAATTTGAAATTATTTTACCGCAAGAATATGGTTATTATCCTGGTTAATAGTATTGATAAAAAATGTACGCTATTTGCAGCAATGCAAATTTCTTATAAAGCATGCAATAGTGTCAGCAGATCTTGCATTTGAAACTGGTTCCGGTCTTGCGGTTTTATAAAGATTTAAACGAAAATTTATGTCAAGTCGAACAATTCAACATAGATTATCCATGGGGCCGTATATGTGAGAACTTCAAAAATATCACACGTTTCGATGAGTACGTGAACATTGGTAATGACGTGCCTGTATCTGGTATGTTAACAGATAACAAAATTTTGGAAGAAGTTGCGGCTATTAATAAGAGAGCGATGAGAATGACAGCGCCGGTGAGGAATAACTAATAACAAATAAACAAACCATATCGGCCATTCAACAACTGCGATATTATGTTTCAAAACATGATGTCAAAAAAAATCGTTTTGATTGTTTATAAAGTTCAGAGAAATCAATTGAAGAGATATGCGAAAAGAATCTGACGCAATCAACAATTACAAACTTTTTTAAAGTTAAACTTTGATTTTCTTTATACAATTTTATATATGTTTTTATTTTCTTTTTAAATTAATTGCACGTAGAATATAATATATATTGCATTATTTAGTTCTAATCTATATACATAAAAGAAAGTCGTGTTAGTTACACCACTCATAACTCAAGAACGGCTGAACCGATTTTAATTATCTTTGATTTGTTGGAATCGTCTCCGCTCCGAATAGCAGAATACATTATAAAATATTGGAAAAATCCACTAATTTTAGCAAAAATAATAAATTTGTAAATGCTGTTTCAAACTGTTGACAGTTCGAAAGTTTGAGTGATATTGATTTCTTTTTAAATTTTTTTTTCAAATATTTCAAATATTTGAAATTTCAAATATAATAAATTCAAAAATAATAAATAAATATTGTTATCAATATACCATCGAATCCACGTGACCTGTGGAACAAATATAAGGATAACATGTCAGAAGACATTTTACATAGAATTCGTGTCAGTTCAAGAAATCCCGATCTTGAGGTGAATGATGAAATGCATAATCAGGCTTTGCTCTTGATCGAAGACATATGTTACCATATCTAGTTTGTTGGTCAGATTAGGAATGCCAGCTCCTGATCGTGGAATAAATAACGCATTTAATCGAGAATTGGAACGTGAACGTGAACTACCGAGCAACCGATATGTAATATTGCGAAGCATTCTGCAATGGCTAAAGTTTTAGTAGCATCTAAAATCATCATCTGGGACGAATGTACAATGGCGCACAAACGCGCATTAGAAGCACTTGACAGAACATTGAAAGATCATCGCAATGACTCGAGATGTTTTGGAGGCGCAATGATTTTACTGTCTGGCGATTTTCGCCAAACACTCCCAGTCATTCCAAAATCGACTGCTGCCGACGAAATAAATGCTTGCCTTAAATCATCAAATCTTTGGCGCTATGTGAAGAAACTTCAACTGGTAACAAACATGAGTTGCATTGGTAAACGATACATCTGCTGAAGAGTTCTCCAAGCAATTGCTGTAAATCGGTAATGGCCGTGTAGCTGTTGAAGAATCGAGCGGATTAATTGCATTTCCTTCAAATTTTTGCAATTTCGTTTCATCAAAAGACGAACTCATCAATGAAGTATTTCCGATCATTGATAATCATAAAAACAAAAAATGGTTGAGTGAGCGAGCAATTTTGGCAGCTAAGAACAAAGATGTGAATGACTTAAACTTTGTAATTCAAAATCAAATCGTTGGTACTCTGCATACATTCAAATCTATTGACTGTGTAACAAACGAAGAAGAAGCTACCAACTATCCAACTGAATTTTTGAACTCCTTAGATGTGCCTGGCTTACCACCGCACAATTTACAATTAAAGATTGGTTCGGTAGTCATTATGCTTCGAAATCTAAACCAACCAAAACTATGCAATGGAACGCGTTTAGTGATAACAAAACTGATGGCCAATGTGATTCACGCAATGATACTCAAAGGAAAATTCAAAAGTGATGAAGTTCTCATTCCGAGGATTCCAATGATCTCAATCGATATGCTCTTTGAGTTTAAACGAATTCAATTTCCTATTCGGCTTGCATTCGCTATGACTATAAATAAATCACAAGGTCAATCCTTTAGTGTTTGTGATCTGAATCTAGAAAATGCATGTTTTTCACATGGTCAATTGTACGTGGCATGTTCACGTGTAGGCAAACCATCTGCTTTATTTGTTCTTGCGCCTGATAAAAAAACAAAAAATATCGTATATCACAAGGTTCTTTATTGAAGAGAATCAATCAGAGTGCAACCCATAGGTTCTTGCTGACAGACTATTAAAATAATTAATTATATATCAATATCCTAATAAACTATTGAATACAATAAATTTTTTGTATTCATTTTATTACTTTAATAAATTTCTAAATTTAGTTTACCTATAATTTAATATAACATTTATTGACTGTTACGCGGTACGAAGTTCGCGGGCTCACCTAGTAAAGTTATATATAAAATAATTGAAAAACAACTGAAATGTAAAAGCACGGTTAATTCGTGTTTTCCTATTTTTTAATCTTGTTAAATCTAAATCTTGATAATTCGTAAACCCCTCTAATTCGTAAAAAATACTGTTTTCTTGCGATTTTGAATTATCGGAATTCGACTGTATAAGCGTTCTTTCAGAGTTGCCATCAAAAACATTGCTTATTTAATGTTATTCTTTTATGTCATGCTTACAAAAGAAAGGGCTTATTAGACTGCGGTTACATTGTGTGCGAATTTTGTCTTACGTGCTTGTACATATGTTTTCTCATGCGAACACATCGCATGTTGTGGTTACATCACTTCTGAATTAACAGTTCTGTTTGTTTTGTTTTCAAAACAAAATGGATAGTAAAGATGAAATATATTTAGCGAAAATTCGTTATCAAGTTATTTATTAATTTATATAACAAAAGATGAATTTGGGAGCATGATTTTTATTCTTCAAGGTATAAATATGTAGAGTTTGTCGAGTTTTCCTCAAAC